CCAATAAAGTTACACGGCCTAGCACAGCTAAAAAACACAATACTCTTTCTTCTCAGAAACACACCACGTTATCACAACCCGTACTCAACCCAAACGCAGCAACCTTAACAGCACTAGAGCCACTAGAGGCTCACAAAATACCGTAATGTCTCCACCAATAATCCAAGCAACAACACAAATACAACCTCTAGAACAAAGAAACACCATAAATACAAGTAAGGCAACATGTACCACAAAGACAGGTCCACCGAATAAAGTTACACGTCCTAGCACAGTTAAAAAACACAAAACTCCTTCTTCACATAAACACACCACGTTATCACAACCCACTCGTATTCAACCCAAACGCAAAGCCAAAGAAACACTTACACAATAAACTCTATTTAATAAAATTACAGGAATTATTATAATGATATTTTTGTTTTGTTTTCTTCTTTCCTGATAGCATTGAAAAGGAAAAAAAAGGCCAACGTGTTTCATTCCTCCGGCAGCCCTGACTACAGGGATACCGGAGGCGGGCTGCTCAGGGCTTCCTGGCCCTCTTCAGCCAGAGAACGGGATTGTAAGGATGGGTAAAGTTAGGGATGGGAACGGAAGGAACGGAGTTAGGGTGCTGAGGGGGAGAGTACTGCTCCAGCATTTGCCTCGTAGATTTCAACATAATGCTAGCATTATGCGAAGCTACGTATGTCTGAGGAAAACCCCCTGACAAAACCCCAGACAGAGCAGTCGGCAGCGGGATTCGAACCCACAACCTCCCGAATAGCATCGGTGAGCGCGACCACTGCGCCACGTGCCTCGGTGATAGCGTTGACTATTGTGGCCATTAATAGCTATGTTGGACCCTACATAACTTCACCAGACACAGACACAGACACTAATCGTTACTTGATTTTAATCCGTGCGATTAGTTAACCAGGCTAGACCTGAGTTCTCACAAGAAACACCGCCGACCATAATAATAAAACAAACACTTATCACACAAAACCTACCAAGAATACGCAGTATACTTAAAACAAAATTACACGGTAGAAATACAATCAAAGCTATTAACACTTATGACACACCAGTACTTACATACTCTTTTGGGATTATACGTTGGACAAATTAGGCACTAGTGCGCGAAAGTAGATAGTTAATTGTAAAATTGACGTTCCCGACGTTCGTGTTTTATTGGGAAAACGCGATTTAGAACGAAGGAGTGCAAAAAATGTTTTACATTATTTGTACCTATGTTAAATCAGTTAACCTTACTCGTTTCGAAATTCCTGCCTCAGCTACGCTTCCGCAGTAAAATCTCACTCGTTAACGTAAACCTTGATTTACCATACTCATATGTAAATAACTATTACCTATTAACATGAAAGTGAAATGGGAAATTTGTCCGTATACTAGCTTACATAACGCAATCAGACATTATTTTGAAAGCAAAATAATTGAATAAATGGATCCTGTTTGGTATCGTCGGAAAGGTGGTTTTTTTCCTCTTTACGGCTGCATACAAATAGTCATTTCGTTAATAATTAAACGATTTAAAATAATACAAAACTACTTCCAGAATACTACAGCTTGGAGTTGGAGTATCATCAGAAAAAATTGAATTACTCATTAACCTCAAGAGCACAACATTTTTAATTAGCAGCACAAAATTATGAGACACTTGGAACTTAATTCCTTCCAAGTCGACACTCCAACTTCACTGACCCGAAAAAGTCGAGGGATTTTACAAAACTGAACTGTTAAAGAAAAGCTCTCTTGGAGTCGGATATCGAGTTAAATTGGGAATGCAAAAAATGAAAGATCTTGTAACGGGCCTTCGTTAAGCCAAACAGTTTCTTTTTATTGGTGTTTAATCACTTGGAGCTCACCTATTATTATTATTACAATAAATCGTGGGTTGTGTGTTATTGTATCCATTGTATTGTAACGTGATTTATAAATTCGGGTTCGATTTATATCAATATTTATTAAACAAAACTAAAACACTATAAAAACTGTACAATTTATATCGACTATTTATATCACACACTTCGCAATTTATATTTCCGCGCTCGATGTTTCATCCGTACTCGATCTCGTTCGGTAGTAAAACTTACTGCGATGTTCGGTCCGCAACCATTTATACACGCAAGCAATGTAAGTCCAGAACACTCGCGTAATTACCGGATAGCCTCGAATATTCCTATACAAATCCCACTATCGCGCGCGTAGAAAATTCCAGAGCGCCAAAGGCGACGTCATGTCTGGAGCGTTTCCGTTACAGTATGGATAAATTGTGGGCAGGAACTGACAAGCAAAAAAAAAACAATCGATGGCGAGGAGCGTGTGGTTCGTTGCTTCTGGTAAATCAATAAATGTTGCTTTTCGGCTTTTCGGCCAGGAATAACCTAAGCGCGTCGTCGGAGTGGCTCTTCTTGAGCATTGGCTCTTTATGACGCTTGATTTTCCGCACTCTTAACAGGATATCCTCGTGGGACCGGTAACTGGAGGCTGTCGTGCTGGGGGTGGGTGATAATGTTCTTGTGTTGATAGTGGTCAAAGCTATGTGATCTTCTTCTTTCCTCTTCTCTAAGGTGGCCAGGCATACGGCAGTAGGCGTACCTGAAGCGTTTTCTATCGGATGTGGTAGATTGAAGACCCGGTTCTGATGGTCTGGTGCATACTTGAACCTTCCTGATTTTATTAACCAGCTCTTTCACCCATTGCCGCCAGATACCGACGGTACCATTCACCATGCAATAATAATGCCATTCTTCGATGGCGTTTTCGTCTCCAGGTAGAGTCGTGGAGATTGAGTTCATGAATTCTACCACAGATGTCGTGTTGGCAGTTGGCCGTTGAATGGCTATAGAAATTTGTAGGTGGAGGTAGTAGGTGTGTTACAAACTCCCCTTCTGGCTCCTAATGGTGTCTCTCCAAGGTGTCCGGACGGTTTCCCTCAATATGCCCTGATAATGGAGACCTGGTGTTTCCCCAGCGGGAGGCCTCGGTTACGGTGATCCGATAGTGGGTGAGATTCGTTGGAGAATTACATACGAACAAGGCGCTTTAGTTTCTTGTTTGCATGATGGGTGCCTGGAGCAGGCCGATGGGCTTCAGAATGTTTGATTTAAATCTTTGACAATTGTGCCAATTTGTACAAGTGTGATAAAAAGATTGCGTGGAAAATTATAGGAGATCACGATAATGACCACGGTGTAGAAAACATATGAGATGGTATTGAACGAAAGGTTAGAAAGAGGAATAAAAAAGAAAATGCGAGGAAACACAAATGGGATTCAGAAAAAGAAGAATTGGAAAAAAAAGGGCGGAAAGGTGTTTGGATTTTTCATGGACTCAACGGCAGCATTCGACAGAGTGGAACGGGAGAAAGTGTGGAAGATGGGAAAATAGAGAAGAAGCTAAATGGCATAATTAAGGAACTGTATGAAGAGAAGATCGAGGGTAAGAAAAATCCAATACAACTGAACCACCGATCGATCCTTGAGATCACGCATCCATCATTTTTACAACACACCTTAAGTGGTTGTTTCTGGCCCACCAGATCAGCATAGCTTGTAAAACGATTCTTTTGACTTACTTTTGCTTTTATTTGAGGTGTACAAACAAAATGACAGACGGCAATACAAAACTATAAACCACCTGGAGGATCGTTAATAAGAGAAGGAGTCGGGAGTGTTTTGGTTATGTAAAGGACTTATTTAATATCTACATAAGACATGAAAAAACTATTACGACAGGGCCAAGGTGGAGGGATCGTAGTGGGAAAAAGGAAGATATGTTCCCTGGCATACGCGGACGACGCAATGATGATGGCAACAGCAGCAGAACAGGTGAAGGAAGTGATGGGAATAATGGACAGGTATTGGGAAAGACATGGAGATAAATGTAGAATTGAGAAGGAAGATGGAAGGAAAAAGGGAGAATGGAAATGCTGAGAGGAAAGAATAAAAGAGGTAGGTACGAGAATTAATGAAAAAAGGGGCGGCGGCGATGAGGCAGGCGTGGAGAATAAGAGAGGGGTTTCAAGAATGACTTCAGAACAAGAAAATACCTGTTCGACGCACTGGTGAGAAGAGTGCTACTGTACGGAATGGAGATATGGGGGTGAAAGGGATGGGAGGAAGTGAAAGAAAATATTATAAATAGATATTGGGGCTAAACGGAAGGACACTGTGTATGTTAGGGCGGAAACAAAAATGGAGAAAATCAGGATAGAGTCAGGACACGGGGCGGTATGGTTCGGGGAAAGGACTGAATAAGAAAGCAACGTTTTATTAAATAAGTTAAACGTTGAGGTAAGGGCCTTATTAAGTGATAGGTGGCTTTGTTTAGCGGTTAGGGATATCACATACGTAATGTTTTCTCATGCACGTAGAAGTTTCATTGAGAATGTCGCGCTACGAGTACGTTTATAGAAATAGTGGGTTGTAGGAAAATTCCTTTATCTTAAGTAATATTTATCCTGTTGTGACGTCGCGGATCATTTGGGGGTGGTTTAGGATTAATATACAGGGAATTAATACAGTTTAGGACATATTATAGTTTTTGATACGAAGGTAAAGTGGAATCTTCCATAGGTGTGGATGGCTTTCATTTGAGATTAATGTTCAGGGTGTTTATGTCGTGAACGTAGTTGGAACTTTCCACAGGTATTTTATATTTTAACGATTTGCGGGACGGTGGCTTCAAAATTAAAATGCGAGCGAAAATAAAAGGGAAAACGATGCGATTCAAAGAAACGGACAGGGTATGTGAATGAGAATCAGTCCCGCTGAGGCTCAAGTGAATGGTTTTTCTCAGATTTTTCTGAAAATTAAGAGAGGTAATCACTCCCATAGATGTCAAATAAAAGAACTCCATCTTTCTTTTAATACTAGAAGACAAATCCTTACTTTCTATAATAAATTAGAATTTGAAACCTTTTAAGTGCGACAGCAGCTAAGGTTACAGCTTGTATAACCAATTGAGAAAGGGTTTTACTAAATAAACTATTTTTGTATATGGAAATTTTAATAATATCCAAACAGTATCAACCAAGAACATTAAAGTTGTAGGATCAGTGTTATAATTTAGTCTTGCTTTCACCATCCGCAACTCTCAATTCCATTTGGATTTGTTCGAGTGTCTTTTTCTTCGTCTCTGGAACTGAAATGGCTACATACACTAACGTAACAAAACATAAACCGGAAAAAACGAAGAATGGTACATACAGTCCGTACTGATCATTAGTAAATTGAAACAGTTTCGTAACGGTGGTTGCCATTATAGAAAAAAACATGTTACAGAAACAAACAGCCACCCCTTTAATGTTTAGGGGAAAAAGCTCACTCATAAATATTGAAGGTAGTGTCAGTAGTCCTATACTGTAACCGACGATTAAAAACGAAATATTGCCGATAGTCATCCAGGTAAATCCGCTGTTCCCTCCACCTTTCCCAGTTAAGTATAGATTTACCCCCTCCATTAAAAGTGCCAAACAGCAGCACGCAGTAGATGTTAAAAGCAAGGGACGTCGCCCAAGGCGATCGATTAGCGCAGCGGAAATGACTGAACATACAATTAAAACCAGGTAAAGTATTGCAGTCGAAGCTATCACAGGAAAATCTGCAGCAGCCTCTATGAAAATAGTTTGCGTGTAAAAGTACATGATTGGCACTATACCGGCGACCTGCTGGGCTGTCATCGTACCCATAAAAATGAACAGCCCCTTTCTGTTACTCGCAACTCTAAAAAGATCGAGAACTCCCGCTCTCACCAATCCTTCCTCGTTATTTTTGACCAGTTCCTTAATTTCCTCGTCGCCAACGACTTTCCCACGAATTTTGGTGAGCATCTCTCGCGCCTTGTCCATATTTCCCTTTACTATGTAATAATTTGGCGTTTCCGGCAGAAAGGGAAACAACAGTAGAAATAAGACTGACGGAAGCGCGCAAATAATCGACGCATGCGTTATGGTCACGTAGTAACCCAAAATGTTAATACTTAAAGCGCCAACACTAATCACGATCACCATTAACGAAATTAAGGATCCTCGTATTTGAGGATCTGCCAATTCGCCTATGTAAATGGGAAGGACCGTGAATATGGCACCTCCACCGATGCCCGCAATTAATCTTGCCAGAATAATGAAGCCGAAGCGTTGCGTGGGAGCGATAATAATCCACGATATTAAGAACGGTATCGCTGAGACCAGCAGTGAATACTTGCGCCCAATTCTATTCAGCAGGAGGCTTATGATTATGTCACCCAGTGGATCGGATATCAGGTAGCTCGTCGCGATCCACGAACCCTCATCCTTCGTTATGGCTGTGGATGGATCACCTTCCAGTATTGGTAAGAAAGGCGAAGGCCACGCTAGGTGCATTCCTTTTCCCATCATGTTCAGAAGGGCTGGAAACGTTCAACAGTATTATCGCAGAGTAAACCACGGGGGTACCTACCTAGACAGGTACCGAAGTACTGAAGTTGTCGTCCCTTCAGCATCATGCTAGGTTTTGACGGTTACGTACTAAGTGTGTTAATAAATAATTAATCGGCAGTAGGATCATAGGTCAATCGGGTTATCAAATTTTTATGACCAGAGGTACGATAACCATGATCAGGAAACGAACTTCAGCGGATCGCGTATTAGGAAAAATCGGCGCTATAGAGGAAACACAATTAATGTAATTAAATTTTCTCCTTCGTCGTTACAAATTTCTTTGGTTTCTTCAATTTTCATTTGTGTTCCTTTTGCCCTCCAATCTTCTATTTTCAGGGCTTTACCTCCGCTCAAGTTTACCTTCCCTGAACCTCTTCCTCTTAAGTTTTCATCGTTCTTTCTTTTAGAATACCGTTTTTTTGGATGAGTTTCTACATTACCGGCTGGGAAAATTCCACTTCAATTCTAGCAACTATTACTTGTGACCTACTTACACACAAAGTTTGTTGAGCTATTCGTAGGATGTTGAGCTACACTTCGAAAATTGTTCCTGAATTTTAATCGAAAGTTTGGAGAACATTACTCGTGTAAATTGCTTCGATATCTCTGATTTTACTTACGGTACCTGTGTCGTTGCTGAAGAACATATCGAGACCCGATTTCAGCTACATCACCTACCAATTTACCAATGTTAGCTACCGTTGGTTTGTAAACAAGTTTTTGAAGTTACCGAGGCTTTATCCGAAGGCGATATTTCCAAGTTTTAGTCACGTTTTTGTTTTACTCCGAAGAATCGGCTCTTGTTTATGTTTTGAGTTGATTAGATCAATAGAAATTTAGTTATTTGTTCCTCGGAAAGTACTTTTTGGAATTTAACGTCACGTTTATGCTTTTATACCCCGACGATTGTAAGGATAACCCGTGGTTGATCAAAATTTTTTTTGGCTTGTGTAAAGTCATTCGAATAATTGATTCTTCTTAAATTTTAATTATAGTTTTAATATCCGATCGCCTCCGTGTCAGACGTTAGCATTGCTATTTCGCAATATTTTATGTGCAGCGCGATTCACTACTCCGTTTATTTGTTTGTTGGGTTATTGTCTGCTACAGGTTTTCAGAACGTACCCTTCTGAATTCAGACGGCCACCACGATAAGAATTCAAAGGTAACTTTTGTTATTTTCGACAACTCCTTGATTTACCGTTTGATTATATACTGGTTTTCGATACAATCCAATTGTAATTATCACATTGTTTGAGATTCATTTTGCGGCGCTGCGATTAGTGGGTACCTATCAATTGTAAAGAACCATACTCTCTCTCTCTCTCACTCTCAGTGGTGGGGGTGTATTATTTGGTTCAAAGTTACGCCTACTCTAACTTGATGGATTACTCCTGGATACCGCTCTTGGGACTTTTCCTGTTCATTGGTGGTTACAGTTCCGGGCTGCATTGTATACCCGTGCTGCTAGTTGGGGAGTTATTTCCAATTGGAGTAAAGGTGGTAGCAATCGCTCTATTCGATATGTACTATAGCATAGTTTCGAGCATTTCGTCGAAGTTTTTCCAGTACACCAAAGACGAATTGGGGATGTACGTTCCTTTTCTAACATTTGCCTGTTGTTGCGCTTGTGGTTTGCCGTTTATCGTACTTTTTGTATCCGAAACCAAGAACAAAACGCTTGAAGAAATACAAATTGAGGGGAAATTAAAGATAAAAGCTAGACATGAACAAAATGATCCAACGGTTACAGTTAGTTATTTTTAGGACGCCCTGTATATAAATGCTTTGTTGTTGAAATACGCACCATTTTCACTGTGAGTTAGATTTATAAAATCATATGATGATGTACAGTTAAACTTGTGTACATTTTTTAGAAACTGGAGCCAACGCCTTTGCACACCCTGTATATAATATGTTTTCACATTATCCACCGGGGCAAATAAAAAATATATTGTCCAATACACATCCGGCGAAAAATTCCACTATTGTCTTAAACTCTGTGGTCTCGACGAACGAAAATTCTAAAGAATGTATTACATAAATTTGGACCTCAAATAAATCCTGAGCCGCACAATGGATTCGAATAAACACACAATTAATTGATTGACAATGACAAACATTTATTCTGAAACACAAAAGAAATAAAAACAAAATCCCTGAAATAAAGCTTGTTTAGACAAATAACCCCGCACGCAGACGGCCGACAAGTAAAATAAATCTTAAAATTACTTAGTTTTTGTTCTTACGAATGCAAACAATCTGGTCGTACAAGATTTCCTATATAAGGCGCACTTAACTCACAATTGTACAACTATCTTCCAGATCCTGTTAAATGTCAAGACTTGAACAGTTCAAAAATACTATTAAGAACCATCTTCTGAACCACTGCTTTTACTCTGTAAGAGAATACCTAAACACACTCTACGATAACTTAATGTAAAATACCTCCTATTTATTCTTTAATTACTGTTATAAAAATTTAACATTGTTCATGTTGTGTTATTATTACTTGCATGAATCACTGTATTTATTGATTTATATTTTATGTATATATTTGTTAATTAGATGCTATGGGCCAATGGCGTGTCGAAGCCAAGGATTGGTGGAATGAGAAATAGAGATTATTTTATTTTAACATACAAACGCTGACAACTTCACTTTGCCTTCTAACAGAATTAGATGACAAACAAAACTGGTTTGATGAGTAAGATAAACAAATTTTCGGTAGCTGTTCAGACGGTAGAAACAATTAACTTTTAATAAAAAGGCCTCCCTGTACTACACTGCTTCCTTTAACTCGACCAAACTTCATCCGAAATTGGACAGCACGCGTTAAACTTCGCACACAACTGTGGTTAACTTGCTTCTGCACAGATTCATTATAAAAAAATGGCGAACTCCACTTTCAAAAAAAAATTAGCGTAAGCAAATCTACACGCGCTTTCACCGTAGCGAAAACTAGCAGCAACAGCACCCTAGTTTTTACATTGATTTCAGTATTTAAGAAAACACCACTTCCACCATTAAATAAAGTCCTTCCTCATGAATTTTCAAATCAACCGCCAATCAACGACGGAAAGTGCTAAACATGCCTACCTACTTTTCCAATATGAAACGCGCAATTCTTCGAAACACCTTAATCTATTAACAGCGACAAAACACGTGCGCTAATTTTCGCCTGATATAACTTCTTATCGCAAACAATCAGATGTGTCTTACTTCTAACACATGTTTTTTCCGTTAATGTCGCTGATATTTTTATGATTTGCTGCCAATTGTTCATACTGTTGACTGGCTCCAACCCGTCACATATTCTCTTCTTGTATTTTCCAACTTCCAAAAATATCTTGGTTTTCTCGAGACATCTTGTTAATTTGAATTTAACCGTTTTTCTTAAACTCTGATCGTAATTCCATATACAATTTACAAAATCCTACCTTGGTATCTCTCTAAATTCAAGAAGAAATTCAAAGATATTAATGATAGCTCCCAGGAAATTTAAAAATTCCGAAACCACGCTGCCACTTCCGAAAAATCAGATGTCGTAACCCCTTTCATGAAATATTTTTTACGCCGTCACTGTTGCTAATAAATCAATACTAATTTTTTAAGCAAATAAAATTTTATTTGTAACGCCACTGGTATAGTAATGTGCTTGACCTACCGCTACTACATTTATTACTCGGCACTTTCAACGTCGGTTGCCGCCCTATTTTTCCATGGGATTGATTTTTCGATTAAATTTAACCTGGGGGACGTCCATTAATAACGTGATGCTTAAAGGGGGGGGGGGAGGTTTAGAAGAAATCAAGAGATATCACAAGGGAGAGAGGGGGTGCAGTGAATTTCTAAACCTGCAACCTTAAAGTCTGTCTGGACATTTTTATCACGATCCTTAATTTTCCAGAATTAAATTAGATTAACTATAGGTAGGTACTGACCTGTCTTAAAGAACCCGACGTTATTTTTTATACAAATCAAAACATTTACGTTACCTTAATTGTACCGTTGTTGTCTCGAATCGATGTGACGGTGTCTGCCTGTAAACGCGATAACTGCCAAACGCTTTTCTTTTCACCCTTCTCCCGGTCCGTCCGCGCGATCGACCGTCTGTCCATCTGTGAATATGGCAACTGGCAAACGCTTGGACCGATTCACACATGTAACAAGCCAACAGAGAATGGGTAAAGTCCAATGCCTCAACGGTTTATTGTTAGTTAACTAAATGGGTGCCAATTTACTTAACTGTAGATGGACGTAACTTGCGTTTAGATTTCCGTTCTGATAAAAATACCCGCAATAAGCACTTGGTATTTTGATGTCCGAATCTCTGACAACGAATTTACATTTTTACTATGTACTGCTTACTGTGGAACCCACAACCGAATTAATCTCCCGAAACAAACCTCATATCTTGGACCACGTACTACACGATCTCGTAGCCCAAGAACGAATGCCTCCCCCAAAATTCCGGAATAATCCCCCACTCTTTTTGACATGGCGTTCAGTAATTAAACCATTATTTGTTGTGAACATATTTCATTGGAGGTACTTCGGAGTGCATGAGGATTAGGCTGTACTTAAAGCACCCACACACAGGAATTGTGTTGAATTGTACTTACTATACCATGTAAGCAAATTTATCTCAAAGTGGCGTGACTTTGTGTCGCACTTATGGTTACAGGAGCCCCAACTACTAAGGTAGTATTTAGTCCGATAATGCGCCATAGAATTCAAAATATGATTGCTAATTCCACCAATTAACCCTAAAATCTCAAAAACGTCAACTTTACCTATCTTTACAAAATTCGAAAAGATAAAACCAAATTTAGAGCTACCGTTACACACATCAGCAGTACAAAAATGCGAGTAGAGAAACGGTTATTTGTTCATAGAAATTTAAATTCGCAAAGTCTCAATCAAAGACGAAGGTTGATTGATGTTTTGTTCTTGTTAATTGCGTGTGGTAATCCGGCTCGAAGGACCATTTTTGGTGAAAGAAAAACTCTGATTTTTGTAATTTGTTTATTTGAAAAACGTAAGAAATGGTCTCTGAACAATACACATTTTTTACATACAGAGTGATCACAAATAAAACAGATCTGATCCGTAGTGGTAAAAGTACATTGAGATAATCTCAAAAACATCTAAGCAAGATGGTATCATAACCTAGTAATAATCTCAGTATTGGGCTTAATGGCTTTGAGCTCTATCTGAATTTGTTCCAGAGTTTTATTTTTGGTTTCCGGAACAAAAATTACTACATACACCAAAGAAAGGAAGAGACAAATGGCGAACACAAAAAATGGTACGTAGAGGCCATACTCGTCGTTAGTAAATTGAAACAGTTTCGCTACACCTGTTGCCATGGCAGCAAAATATATGTTGCAGAAGCAAATCGCTGCTGCTTTTACGTTTAAAGGAAACAGTTCACCCGCAAAAACTGTGGGTAGTGCTAGTAGACCTATACTGTAACTGATTATCAAAAAAGAAAAATCGCAAATAGTCACCCAGGAAAACCCAACCCCATCGACTCCACTCTTATGCTTAATGTACAAATTCACCCCTTCCGCTAACAGAGCCAAAAAGCAGCAAACAATGGATGTTATAATTAGCGGGCGCCGGCCGAGTCGGTCCACAATCACAGCAGATAAGATCGAAAATACAATTAAGACGACGTAAAGCAAAACAGTCGAAACTATCACAGGAAAATCACTGGCGGCCTCCTCGAAAATAGTCTGCGTGTAAAACATAATCGGAACGATCCCAGAAAATTGCTGTGCCGCCATTGTGCCCATAAATACGAACAGGCCTTTTCGGTTACTCGCAATTCTAAACAGATCGAGAACGTTCGCCTTCGCCAGTCCCTCCCCGTTAATTCTCACCAGCTCCTTGATTTCCTCGTCGTCGACTGCACGTCCGCGAACTTGCCCGAGAGTGTCCCGCGCCTTGTCCAGCTCCCCTCTCACTATGTAATGGTTGGGAGTTTCTGGCAGAAAGGGAAAGGAGAACAGAAAAAGGATATGCGGAATGGCACAGATGATCGACGAATGCGTTATGTTCAGGTAGTACCTGTAACGGAAAAAAAACTGTTACTACTTCCAAGTACATAATTTAATTAAGGGTATCATCGCCACCGGTTAAGAGTGACAATACTCGAAATTTAATCCAAGTTGGTCGCGAGAATTGCGTTAGTTCCGTTTCGGTTTTTCCACGGGGTTACAGATTAGATCAAGATTAATAAAGGTTAAAATGCGCTAAGGAAGCTGTCGAAGCCATGCGGGTGGAGATGGGCCTTTCTGTTTCGGTGGATGCGTGTTGGGTTTTCTACGCGGCAACATAAATAAGCGAATTTCGAGTAAGAAAGGAGACAGGCCCACATCAGTTGTCACAACATGTAGGTCATCTGCTAAGATTTCGATTTGCTTGCGTGGTTAGCGTAAAAGTTAAGTGGCAGTGTCGGGCATCACTTAACTTTAGAAAAGGGAAGAAGTTAGTGGCACTACCGCTGCATTTTTTCGAAAACGTTTTAATAAAGTTAATCGCTGTGTAGTCCCAACCTCAAGGAAGTTAGGGGTGCTGTGGTCCGACCTGCGTAGCTCAGATGAGCTTACGTTAGTAGCTCTAACTTTGGCTACAAGGGTCCTGGGTTCGATTCCCAGGTAAGGCATGGCTGTTTGTGATTGTATAGTGGGTTGAGTGGGAAGAGTAGCAAATTGCTAACACTCCGCCCACTATAAAATAAAGGCAATAAAATAAAAAAATAAAAAATAAATAACATTTCTTTGATTTCGTTGTGTTTTAGCCGCCGATAAGGAAAGCCAATAAGTTTGTTTCTTTATCGCAGACCATTTTCGATTGATGTAACAATGGGAATTACTGGGCCACCGAATTTGGAAATTTGAATCAGGCCAATTAAGTGAGTATAATTAACCGTAGTTAATTGTGTTGCAGCAAACTTCATCTGATTAGATTGGACCTAGTGTAATTAACTTTTAAATTTTAAGATTAGTCCCCGATTTGTGGCACGTCCGGGAGCCTTTTTGGACGTTATCAATCGAGTATGCCGACCGGCTGGAAAATCCAGTTTCATTTTTTTTGGGGAATTCTATATAAGGTATCGGCATAATTTACAGGGCATCTTTTGCATTTTTCGCAAGATTCGTAAAATATTTCAATCGATCGGCATAGACATATGATTATTAATTTATTTTGCAAATTTAAATTGATGTTTTGGGATTCTATTAATTTGTTCTCCGTTTTATTTACATGCAGCCGATTGTGCGCGGACTTCCCAATTACCGCAGTTCGTTGCAGTATTTAATGATAAAATGTATGCAGGATATACTTTTGGGTCAGAATTTATTGACTTTGTATGCCATTTTGTTTCCCGCGCGGTGAGGGGGAGAGTTCGCTCATTTCCCTTAATTTTCGATCTTCCCTCTCGAGTGTTGTCACTCGAGACCGAAAGTCCACGGGACCGCTGAACTGATATTAGGGGAAGTAATGTTCTGCGTTTTACAGAACCGAAATGAAGGCGCATTTTTGGCGACTCTAAAGATAAGGATACATTTTTAACGGAACACGTCAGACACACCGGTGACATCTCTGGGTGAAGAGAGGGAAGTCCTGAATTGCTTGTGCTACAGAATCAATCCAGAGAGTACTGGATTCATAAAAAACCACGCGGCGACACGAATTTGGTGAATATCATGTTCTGTGGTCCGAAAATGACAATGAAAATTAGAGGTGTAAAATGTGTATTAGGACGACCAAGAAGGAATACTTAACGTTCTTTAGTTTATTAAAAAAAAAACTAAATTAAAGAAGCGAAACACTGTGAAGATCTGGCCACTCTAACGTTATGACGTGTTCTCGATTTCTATTTGTGTTAAAAATGTGTCCTTACCTTAACAGTTGCAGTAAAATGTTCTGTGATCCACAGAACCAAGGTCAAGGCTCTTTTCTGGCGTCACTGTCAACTGTAGTTAATATTTAGAACTGCCCTAATGCAGTGCAAAATTAATTAAAAGAACTCTATGAATCAATAAATAATAAAAAGTAATGTTAATTACAAGAGAAGCAAGCAAAAGCAAAAATCTCTCCAGTTAAATTTAATTCGGACGCATAATTCTGAACGGTCTAATTTTAATTAATCTCAATAAAGGTGCAACGGAACATTGCACCGTCTTAGAATTATTATGTCTGTCCCTGAATCACGTCCCACCGGGAATTTTTGTATTTGTATGATTAAAAAGACTGCTTACCATATTATATCCCTAATTCAATTAATTCATGTTAATTGAAAAGAATTTACCTTGTATTCCGATAGTGACTTCACACTCATTATACGAGCAAATTGCACCATTCTTTTACTAAGTAATAAGTTGCACATTTCTACACGTACCCTCTGTCAACGGATATCTTTGACTACCTACCCGAACGCTTTCTTTACAAGCTAAAACTAACCACTTCAGTCGTTCCCATATTAAGTGATCGGCCACGCTCGAACGTAAATTTTTATTTCTGTTAAGTGTTTATGTTGCACAACTAAATTCTATATGCTATATGAATTTAAACAATTTATGTCTTCCAAACAGTCAACACTGAAAAACGGGTTTACATTTCAAATACGGGATCGACCGCTATGCATACTACCAAAAATAGGGCATCTAAAAGTAGAACGATTACGAGTTCGTTATTTGGAATTTTAAAATTCCAGTTAAAGATTCGTCTTACTTACCTATTAATCACTATCTATCCAGCGGCATCACTTCAGTATCTTCATAAATAGGAAAGTTGACGCTGCGCATGTACGTATTTGAGGCGCTTGTTTTTATTATTAAAATTTCAAAAAATATCTCTACTAGAAAATCGAATTTGTGCAGTCTGCGCATGCGCATATTTGATTTTTGATATATACGATATGTATACCTACCTTTACTAGAGGTATCTGTGGTGTGAAGTAAAATGAGGTTCAAATTTTAAAAAAATGTCCGTAAATAGGTAAGTTGGAATTGCGCATGCGTACATTCCATTTTTACTATATGTGATGTGCTTGTCTTTACCAGAAGTGCCTGTGGTTCAGATTAAAAAATATCTACAAATACCTAAGAAAGTTTACATTGTGAAGTTTGCGCATGCGTATCTACATTCCAAGACTTTTTGGCTCAAGTGCCAGACCTATAAGCTACTGAACATTAAATGAATAAACCCAATGTATTGAAAACGGTAAACCTCGAACAGGTGTGTGATGGAACCGAATTAGCCCGCTAAAGTTCGATTTAAATTTTCCCCAAACCGACCCTGGCGCGACGAAAAAAGTCAAGGTTGCACTTTGTTTCGTTTCCGTGGAACACGTGTTTTTTCTTCTCTGCTCTACATTGAAATGGGCCGTAATTTACAATAAAAGTGTCAAATATTACGCTATGCGAGGAAACTATCGACATTGACAATTTTCGTCTAGGATTTGTTTAAAAAGGGGGAGAAAGCGGCAGAAGTATGTGTACTTTTGTTGAAAGCAGATGTAATTTATACGTTTCGAATAGTGAGTGCAGCTTCGACAATTACAAAGGTGATGTACTCGTTTTTTAATCTCTACGTCTATTGCATCCATCTAATAATGATATGTACGTGTTCGATTATTTGCCAATTTAACTTTATTCTCGTACAGCATTGATTATTGCCATTTATAACACATTCTAGATACAACTTGCACTTTTAATTATACTGGTCATACTTTGAATTAAATGCATAGAGATTTTACATAAATGTTGTTTTCCGATTTACAGTAATCCTTTGTTCCAAGCGCTGGCTACATGCATTGCTGACCGATTTACGTGTTTTTATTTATATTTAGATACAGTATGTTCCCTTAGGGACGATACTCAATACAAATATGCAGAACTACATTTTAATTTATAATTGAATTTATTGCAGCGCATTTCGCTTTGTTTGCATGAATATGTTTATTTACAGGGTGCTTCATCTGGGGGCGAGTGACGTACGTTAGGTGGTTGATTGTTACATATTGCACTTGGCATTGTGAATTAATTACTTGATACTAATGTTTGCCACGACATGTTTCTTTGTGTTTGTTGTAATGTGATACTATCGTTATGCTCCTACTATTTATTTGAACCGGGTGATTATGATTATTAATTTTTGGCGGGTTGACTTGTTTCGAATATGTACTGTGCTATATTTGATACCGATCTTTAATCTCGATTTGACGTAGCAGAGGCTGGCTAAAGTTCAGAACTGACATACGCAGAGATTATGTTTTATGTACTGTTTTTTGTGTTTTTAAAAAGAGCCATCTTGCCGATATTGCTAATCAATCCGATTAGTCGATCCCTGACATGTAGTGACCGAATATTGGTTTTGTGCCAGTCTTTGTTATGCCAGTACAAATATGTAATAATAATAATAATAATAACGGCTTAATTAGGCGGGGTGTCAGCCAAAGGCTGCTATTAATCCCAACCTTGATACAAAAAAAAGTACAAAAACATAATGGAGTATTTAAAACAATTTATGGTAATTTATAAGGTATGATAGTCCAGGTGAGAACAAGTAAGCAAAAAAAAAAATATATATGATTCAGTGATAAAGAAGTACTCTAAGGTGTTTTTTGAAACCGTTTGGACTTAATAATTTAAGAAAGTTCGGAACGTTATTGTAAATGAGTGGTGCAAAATAAGTAAATGCACCATGAAACTGGGTTTTATGGTGCTTTGGTATGTCAAGAAAGAATGGGTTACGGAGATTACGATCGTGAATACTACTTCGAAATTTTAACTTATTATACAAATATATACAAATATAAAGGTTCACCAGATACTAATATTTTGTGAACCAGACATGCAAGATGTAAATGACGTCTTTCGCCCATGTTCAAAATTTTATGTGCATGATAAATATGGGAAATATGTTCATATTTCTTAATGTTAAACGCATACCTGACGCAAGAGTTTTGGATTTTTTGCAGGCGAGACTTATTTGCACTAGTTAGACACGGACCATAGACAGTGTCAACTGTCAACGCCTACATAAATTCTGTATATTTTGTTTATAATTATGTATGCGTGTGAGTTTGCCGATGGTTGCTCTGTTTTATTGTTGTTATGTCATGATTTGTCTTTTGATCGGTTACTGTCAGTACTCATGGTAGAGAGCCTGGAGTTCGGTAATTTATAACCCGGCATTTTAAGACTAGTGGGTTGGACTGGCCCTAGAGATACGTGAATGAAAGAGTTGGGGTCCCGCTAGTCGTACATGGGGCTGACGGCTAAGCCCGACCTCACTTGCGCAGGGACTCGCTAAAAGCGTGCGGCGTGTTCTCGTTGTGACCTTTTGTTTGTGTTATCAATTATCCTTCCTTTGTGAAAGGCTCTTCTGAGAGGCCAACTCCTAGCGATTTCATACAATGTTGACATGTCATGACCAGAGCAACTAAAGACTACTCGGTGTGGGATTTGGACTGGCCATCCAATATCCAAACCTATTATATGAATTTATTGTAATGTTTTAATGATTGTTTTTTGTTATGCGTGTGAAATATTGATTCTTTAGGAATTCCAGTGGAGCCTGGGATTCGACATTGTATTGATGTATGTGGTGGTATTGGACCAGCATGTAGTTGCAGAGCGCAAGCGTTTTTCGGTCAGCGAGGCAGACTTTCTGCGCAGATGATACATTACACTTGTAAAACCCGTGCCTTACTGAACACACGATTTATAAATAAAGTTATTTTGTGAATTAAAACTTTATATGTACTTGACAACATGCATTTATGCCATTACAGACAGCTAATTTTGCTATAAAGTTTAATATTAATTTTTGGCTGGGTTTTTTCTTGGTCAGTTCTTTTTTCCCCAGCCTATTTTTATATTTGTACTCGGTGAACTACCATTTTCTAAATTTAATCTTGCAATGCAAATTATTTGGATTAAATCTCTGTTTTTAAAGCATGTACTTGTTTTATTTGTATTCCTTACTTGATCCTCACTCCAACAGGCAACACATATCTTGTAGCGCCTCTTAAAAACACAACGTAGTAAATGGTCCTATTATTCGGTTATTTAGGTTAGGTAGCTTTTCTAGACGATCACGTGCCATGGGGTTCAGTTAGTTTGGGAGGGAAAGTTTTGAATTTAAATCTTGAGTTGCGCAGTCTCTCAGGACTGGCCTGGGTACAGCACAGGCGGTAGGATGGGCAGAGAGTGGTTGCAAAAAAATTGACGTTAAGATATACAGGGCCTTGCATTTAAAAAATGCCAACTTTAGACCAAATTTTTTTTACTACGCCACTGGATTAAACGTAAAAACGTCCAAAACATCCAGCAGTTTTTACCTTTTTTCTCTTACATAGGTAGTAAGATATAACATCCCAAAAAGTCAAACTTTTCGTTTTCACCCTGTATCTCATAAACAAACAAAGCTCTGTTTGTGGTATTAAAAGTTTCACAAAAAGTGGTACTACACGGTCGCAAAAACCGCAAGTCTCAATCTTTAAAAACAGCTTAGATACACTGCAGTCTACCTAGTGTGCACACCATATTCCTCAAGCAATTATCCTGGTCCGGAGAAAAGTGCAGATATATGCTACTGTACAAACTATGATTTCAGACCTTGAATTCCAACATTAAAATTCAGTCTGAATTCAGTTTGATCTCAAAATCTCTCCATTAAATGCAATTCGTAATATCATTACACCTTTTTTCAATACTTGTAGGGCCTAAAAAGGTCCGTCAGCAACATACCCCAAAACATTAACAACCAATGCAGCGACCATCGATAGGATACCCATTAACGAAATTAAGAAACCCCTTATCTGGGGATCCGCCAGTTCGCCTATGTAGACCGGAAGGACCGTATAGATGACACCTTCGGCCATTCCTCCGATGAACCGGGCCGAAAGGATAAAGCCGATACGTTGTGTGATTGCGATTATAGCCCACGATGTTAGGTATGGCAGTGCCGATAGAAGTAATGACATTTTACGGCCGATTCTATTGACGACAACACTTGCAAGTATCGCACCGAATGGACCGGCGATTAAGTATATGGTGGCAATCCACGAGCCCTCATCTTTCGTTATGCGAGTTGAAGGATCACGTTCGAGTAACGGTAGAAAGGGTGAGGACCAGGCCAAGTGGAAGCCACTTCCGAACATATTTAAGAGAGCTGCAAAGAAGGTGGTGTACTAAATTGTGATGATAGCAATATTTACCGAAAGAAGCACCGAAGTACTGTAGTGGTCTTCCGGTCAGCATCATCTTTGGTTTCATTGTTACCCCAGTTGTGTATAGCAACATGGAAAGGTTAATAGGCCATAGATAGGAAAATCCCAATTTTTTACTTCATTGCTATAGGCAAGGTCATCATCTTAGACAGATAACTACATTCTGATGCCTTCCTCTCATCCCAAGCAGATTGTCTATTATTACCTACCAAATATGTGTAGGTCAGTTATGTAAAAATACATGGTATTTATACCTTCTACTTTCTAGTAGCTACTAATGTCCTGTGTATGCCAATAAATAATAGTGCAGGGAACGTGCGTCTCGGCATATTTAAAAGATAATTTGTACAGTTAACCATACTGACACTACAAAAATTAATGTTTTTTGGAAAAATGAGAACTTTATTCCAACCTCCTTTACTCAACAGTAGTTCATAACGTATTCTTACAATACATTGCAACTACTTTTAGTAAATGATTTGACCAACCCGAAGACATACAGGATGTTACAAAATCTATCAGTCTAAATTACATTCGCTTTTTTTTCGACATTCGCTTTTGAGATAGTACCCTGGATAGTACCAACCTAAACGAGAAAACAAAAAATAACTAAAAACCGGGCTGAAGTTACATTCGCTTTTTTTATTAAATGGCCTCCGAAAGTGCAGGTGGCACAGGGCAGAGCTGGGTCGAGCGATTTAAAAAACCGCTCGGGCGACGGGCACTCTTATTTTTTTAAAATGCTCGCGAGCATCGAGTTGTTTTGCAAAGCGAAACCGCTTGCGAGTTCCGAGCACTCCTAAAAGTGCTCGAGCGGTTTATCGCGAGCGCTCGAGAAAAGTGCTCGTGAGCGGAAAAAGCGCTCGCGAGCAGCGCTTGATCCTTCAGCGCTTGAAGGCGGTTAAAAGCGCTCACGAACGAAAAAAAACGCTTGGGAGCGGAAAAAATAGCTTGCGAGCGGAAAAACTGCTAGTCGGCAGAAAAAAGCGCTCGAGCGCCGAGCACTTTAACTAAACGCTCGAGTATCGAGTACCAAGCGGTCGCTCCGGAAAGTGCTCGCGAGCGCTTTTTCCCTTTGGAGCGCTTTTTCGAGCGGAACACTCGCGAGCAGTACCCAACTCTGGCACAGGGACCTATATTCATCCCCTCCCTGCCAGTGGTAACCTCTAGGAATTCACCTCGGAAGTTTTGCACGATACCATATAATATACATAAAGGTGGGTTCATAGCTCTCCGTTCATCCGTTACGTTGATCCGTCAAATGGATAGTACCTACATTTTGTTAAGGTTCATAGCAATCCGTCCACATTGTACATTTGCAACATATAACCACAACCTAAATTTGATTTTGTACTGTACCCTCCGTGATTTTCAGTATGTAAAAATGGTACGAAAGTAAGAGCACGTTGCTATCTGATTATTACCGTGAAGAACGAATAGGCTAACACTGTTAACGTACCAAACATAACCTCACTCTTGTTAAAAACGGACCAACGGAAACGTAAATGTTCCACTTCAACCAACTTTTCCGTCGTAAACGGACAACGTAGGTACGATTTAAAAATTTGCTGTCTTCTGATTGGCTAACGGACAAACGGAAACGTGTGAACGGAGAGCTATGAACTTACCTTAAGTTGTAAATCAAAATTACATTTATTCAAATTAAGGGAGGGTTTACGGTAGAGGACTATTCGAGCGCGATAGCACAATGGCCCTTTTTTAACCAGCAGAAAGTCGTTTTTGAAAAAGTGCCCCACAGTTAAAAAAATTCGCCTTTTTTAGGTCAATGGCGCGGTATACGAATAATAGAAGTTACAGTTCAAAATTAATTTATTAAAATTGAGGGAGTTTTGCACGCGTAGGATTATGGCCTTGTAGTGGCCCAAGGGCTCACCTATAACCCCCTCTATGTGGTTTTTCGAAAAGTGCCCCACGGTTTTAAAATTAGCCTTTTTTTAAATCAATGGCGCGGTATACGAATAATAAAAGTTACAGTTCAAAATTAATTTATTAAAATTGAGGGAGTTTTTCACATTTTTTTTTTGTAAATAGCCCGGTATATGAATAATACAAGTTACAGTGTGAGAGGTTTCACCCTGTATATACAACTTACGACGATACATCTTAGACCATATAGTACATGGACTGCTATTCGCCCTATGCTTTCAATACAAAATGGGTGGTCACGGATAGAGGGCACTGTAGTCGTGGGTATGTGAATTTCAGGGTAAACTAAAGTCGTATAAACACCACTCGGATCGCGTAAAGAGCAGCTTTATAGTAACCGCGTAGTACGGGAAGCTTTAAATACCATTCATTATTTGCTATATGTCCACAAATAAGAATGTTTGCTTTTTTTGGCATATCTAGGCGATTAATTGATTGACGTTTGTTAATTTATAGGTTGACAGTCTCACATTGTGTCTCATCGGACAACTTCGGATAGACTCGTTTGCCCTGAAACTCACATACCCAGGCGATGTCCTTGACCATATTTTAGTTACTATTAGCAGTCCATGTACTATATGGTCTAAGCGATACATATATATTTGAGAGTTGGCAACCATGGAATTTCTAGGTGGGAAAAGCTGCCTGCGCCATCTAGAAAGCCCGAACGGGGGTTACGTTTGGCATCTTGCCTTGAATGGCGGTCGTGAACGCGTCGCTCCATAAATGTTTGTTGTTATTTTGTGTTATTTAATACAGGTAGTAATTTTTGCATTTCTTTATACCGTATTTGTGTTTTGTATGCCGCAATTTATATTTTTTGTGTGTTTCAATCTTTGTTTTTGAAATTTACTTGGTTTAACAGTAATGCAGAATCACATGTGTGATACCGTTATGCTATTGTTTGTAATTGTTTACGTTTTTGGTGTAATGTTTGCTTAATTTATGTCTATTGATGTTGATTACTTGGTCTTGTCCCTGAAGTAACATTCATATAAGTGTTGATAATTTTATTTTAATATGTGGAAATTACCGATTCCTTTGATGTATGTACTGATTTGTTGTTTGTTACTAACAATTTTCTCCGTGAAAGAAGCAGTCACGGGGGTGGTAAAAAAACTGTAGTCAAATTTGAGTTACGACACCTAATTCCGTGATTGTCTTCGACATCCAACTGTAGGCTCGAAACCCCGAAACCAGGGGCGGGCTACCCATCTTGCAGGAGCGGGATTAGGCTAATCAAAGCTCTTCAGTTTAGAATCTATGTGCGATAAATGTGTGGCGATTCAATAATGTCCACATATCTTGTTTTTAGTTAAATTTGCCTACAAGGCCATGTAATTTTCCATCTTGCTTTTAACAAAAGGACCTTATTGCACCAAAGATGAGTCACATCCTGTGTATTTCACCCTTTCTTAGAATCTTGGTACCTGCTCCTACCTGACCCATTGTTCCCAAACTTGCTTTTAACCATGAGTGTAACCAACATTGTGTATATGCATTTACTATCTTTGCTAACTACTGCTTAAACTTTTACAAAATATTTTGTTAATTAACTTTTGGACTTATTAATCAAACTGCAAGGTTTTTCTTACGTCGTACTCTTTTTACCGTTAGCAGTTACTTTTGCGAGAGTATGACACCTTTTGGCTTTGCTTGCTGTGTTTATATTAATGTACATCAACTAAATTTCCGGGCTTTCACAATCTTAATAATTACGATCATTATTAAACAAACTTTTCACAATTTCAGTGTTTTATTTAACGTTCTTTCCCTACTGTGCTTCAGGTCAAAGCGTTGTCTACAACTAACGTAAGGGGGCTCTGTCTTAGTTGTTTTATCACGTGCCACTTTTCAAATTTAAGCGGGATCTTGTTTAGTTTTTGAGGGAATAGTCATTCGGGTGACCATTTTTAAACGTTGCCGGGCTGACTTTATTTCCGTGTTCTTGTAGTGTGAAGTTAGCGTAGAACCTGGGGGTTAAGTACACTACAAGTGCAAAATTAATTCATTAAAATTGAGGTAGTTTGCACGAGGAGGATTATGGTGTTGTGAATTGTGCACTCCCTACCAAACCGTCAAAACATTTTCCAGATGCGTTGAGTTTGAGTTTTTCGGCTTAATGAGGCGGACAAAATTTTTTAGCGGGAACTCCATCAATTTTAAAACTGATACATATGAACATAACACACCGCAACAATTTCCATCGCTTTCGGATGATGGAAACATTTTCATAAAAAAATCAGTCATCAATAATCTTTCACATTTTGAGTATCACCTTTCAGTTAAAAGTTTGAATTTTCTGTGCTAAAGATAAACTTGCAAAAGTTTGATTCTAAGCTTTACCATATTATTCTTCGATTAAGTGATATAATCGTTTTTAACCGTATACTATGGATTCNGATATATCGATAGGTATCGATAGTTATCGATATATCGAATAACAATAGGTAGAGCTAAAAAAATCGATATATCGATATATCGATAGATCGATAACTATCGATATATCGATACTTATCGATAACTATCGATATATCGATACCTATCGATATGTCGATAACTATTGATATATCGATATGTCGATAACTATCGATATATCGATATGTCAATAACTATCGATATATCGATATGTCGATAACTATCGATATATCGATATGTCGATAACTATCGATATATCGATATGTCGATAACTATCGATATATCGATAACTATCGATATATCGATATGTCGATAACTATCGATATGTCGATAACTATTGATATATCGATATGTCGATAACTATTGATATATCGATATGTCGATAACTATTGGTACGATAAAATTATGTTATTGTTGAGATTTCAACGAGCGCTACTATTTTTATTAATAAAATCCATTTTCGGGTTTACTCTCGTGTAAATTTACTATTTTTAGTTGCTCGACGTTTCGGAAACTTAACTTTGCTCCCTTTCTCAAGAGAAGCGCTACGTCACATCATCATCCATGCCAAATAAACGCAGTAATATAATCTTTAGAAAATAGATCTTTTCGTCTTACTGACGATTGCTCAAAAAAAGAAGCACTTCAAAAACTTGAACAAAATGTTGCATCAAAATGGCTACTCTTTAGATAAAATAAAGAAGACAATCAAAGGGTGTAATCATGGCCTATGTATCGGTATCTGATTGATGGTTACAGAGGACCAGTCACAAAAAACAGAAAAAGCTAAGAACACTTCAAATTTAGATATACAGTTTCAATTGATTGACATTTACGAAATCTAACAAAAAACTCTTGATAAAGGTAGCAAAGAAACGTCGAGTAACTATTAATCACTTTTAGTCCTTTACACGAGAATAAACCGGAAAATGGATTTTATTAAATAAAACTCGATAAGATAACTATCGATACGTCGAATATTTCTCTCAAATGACACGTGCAATTACCGCTTAATTACAGCGGTAATTGCATTGTATAAAGCTAAGTACCCAATACTTAT